CTTCAGTCAATCTTCAAAATCTTCCATGCATTCATAAACAATTCCACATTTTTCATATCAAGTCTGTGGTTCGTGAGGCGCGAAACTGACAATAACTATACAGTGTTGATTCCTATGGCCATACTGTTCCTATCGACAAATTCTCGGTCTTCGATACTGAGTGAAATTCTCCCATAAATACAGCAAACTTTAAACAATATATATTGTTGCTTTGCATCTGTAGTTTGTAAGCACCCCACCTGTATTTAAGAATGTGCGTACGCATACAAAATTATAAGCACAGCCATAGATTTAAGACATACATATGCATACGCAATGTTAACGTTTCAAAACTCATTAACAGTCGTCTGCTTCTATGCATTCATAAATAATTCCACTTTTTTCTTACCTGCTCATAAACATAGACATACATTCTGCAAATTATTCTTTTCTTCTTTATATTAAGTCAAATTTTTTAAAAAAATGGAAAAAACTTCTTTCACGTTTGTTACAAATATCGATTATCATTAAAACTCTATCACTTCTTGGGTAATCTATCAGAAAATAGTTTCATTTCTTTATAATTTTCGCATGTTTTGTTTCATACATTTTGTAGTGTGTTCATTTTATTTGTGGCATGGCCGATAGGAATTGTATGTTTTTTCTGGTCTTTTTCTTGGCTGAACATTCCACAAGAGAAAAGAACAATTCTCTACTTGAAAGGAGCGAATCATTTACGCCATCTAGCAGCCATCTTGCAAACTACACCCGCCGTCCGTCGGAGCATGTTTTACATGAAATAATCATATCTAACAATGATATTATGTGTAAGAACACACAATGGACTATTTATTCAAACATTAATAACGCGACTTCAAACGTATAATATACGCTATATTGCATTTAATAAATAGCAATACACCATTTATTGTTACATTATTCGTTTGCTTTTAAGATTACAGTGTGTTATGTCATAGATATGCGACGAATTTTTAAAACAAATAATGCATTAAACTGATCTCCAAAGTTGTGGATTTCTTTTTTCTGTTGACAAATGTCTCAAGTTCTGAGATGTGATATCATCATAACTTGAGAAATTCTAAGGTCACGTGTCCTCACTTTTGTTACTTTTATTGAGGCTTGGATATTTGTTTGTACAACAAATTAGCACACTTAGAGGATGTTCACTGAGGGTTTTTTTTTTATTTAGCTTTGACTGACTGATTTGTTGTTTACGGCTTATCAACCTTTTGTTGGTTATTTAAAGCAGATACATACTTTGGATTGTAAGAATAATTCTTTATTTTTTTAGTGAATATTGCATTAATATTTTTATTTATTTATTTTTTTTTATTTTATTTTTTTTTTTTGGTGATAACAAATGATAACAAGTCCTACTATATAACCCAAAGCTGGGTGGAGAATAGATGAATCCATACTTTTCCCAAGCGAACCTGACTGGAATTCGAACTCGACTCTGCCGATTTCTTATTCGAACCACTATACATGACACCACCCGCACATACTTTTTATTAAGCAGTAAATAAGTTATAACAGATAAGACTCAAAATATTTTTTATTTAATAGCTGAACATTCTGGCTTCTGAAAATATACCTTTAACAAACTATATAAAATTATTTAAGACTGGTCTTAATGGTCTAATTATTTTCTAAGCAAAAATAAAAATCCTCTAAATGTACTGGTTTCATCATTTTTGCCAGGGGTTTTATAATTTCAAAACAATTCATTGGTGTCACATTTATCTGAAGACTTGAGAAATTATCTGCTGAAACGTATCAACAGCAAGGATCAGGATATTAATCCAAATAAGCTATCAGCACTTTTAACTGCTGCTTGAAATTTTCCTCTTTGCTTTTAAACAGTTTCAAATTGCCGAAGATTTGCGTTATTTAATATCAGTGGATGCGCAAAAATAAATTACCGTGAAGAGTTGAACGTGCGGATTGTTTGCAAAAGTTTACAGATTTACATCAAAATGTGGAGATTTTGTCAGGAGAGAAAAACAATTCACTAAACAATACTATACTCTCGCTAAATGTTACTAAAATAGTTGAAAAGTTGATTTTTTAATATTTCACTCCAAACAAGGTGACAATGCCACTAAGACGCAAGTGGTTACTAAGAATGGAAGGGAAAAAGAAAACTTTCACTGAGGAGAGAGCGCAATAAAAGAACAGAGGAAAGACAGAAGATGATGATTGACATTACATTTTAACTTTTTGAAGATTCAAGGAACCAAGAAATTGGAAGAGAGTTCCACAGGTGAGAAGTAAAAGAGAAGAAACTATTAGTGTAACACCACCTGACAACAGGGTCACATCCTTGGTCACGGTTACCAATTAATATAACGCCTTTTGGCCGCCGCCTACACCTGGTGGTGTAACCACGTTTAGTGGCTCGGTTCTCAGTGTCTTAAGACGACGTTTTAACCACATGTCTAACTCTGCGCTGGTCGATACTGACGCTGGTCCAAGCTGGTTGTTGGTCGTTGGCCGCTTCGATCCACACCAATTCGTTGTGATCTTCATCTCAGAGCAGTGGAATATCGAATGTCGTCGTAATAGCAGCGCTGGTTCAAGACGTGGCCGGTGCTATATTAAGGAAGAGAATATCTTCACGGTGAAAAAAATGAAATGAAAGATTCATGGGATTAAACTTTAATTGATTTATATAGCTCTTGGTACAACAAAAATTAACCCTTCCCGCACCAATCTCTATAGTGACATTGGGACTTGTCTAAACTTCAGGAGGAGCTGAGTTCAAAGTTCTTGTAATAAGGAAATAAGGTGGCAGTTGACATAGATTTCAGAAGCACTCGATGCGAGTTCTCAGTTCAAAGTCTCCGAGCTCCTTCGGCACAAAACTGGCATGGCGCCGAAGGGTTCTGGGTATTCGATGATTTTCCCATTTTCATCAGTTCCAATAAAGGTTTTCTTTGTTCCCTATTTCTGTTTTCTCAATCAACTTTCCAAATTTGGAGAATTATCCACCTTCCTTGGGATTAGTCACAGGAATTTCTCCTCTCTTAACTCCAATCTGTTTCACTTCACATCTCGAATTGCTATTCCACACAAGTGGGGCTAAATTCTGCCCCTTCTTCCTTCCTTCTCGGTTGGAACGACGAAAGTTCCAAAATCAGATATCAGCCGTGCCGTATCCTAGCCTTGTGTTTGTTCGAACTATTATACTAAATCTGAGTCCATTATTTTTTGTTGCGGCTCGAAATAGCGGGGTGGGCAGTTCCTTTCTTCAAGAAGACATGCGGGGTTTGAGTTATTTACAAATCTTACATTCTTCTAGACTTTACCTAAAGAGGCAGGACCTACAAGACAGAACTTGTTTTAAATTCAGAGTTTTCCTTCTCCTAGACTGGTTACCAATTAAGTCTATAGGGCATAGCCTGTCATAGCTGGAGGGAAGAGATGGATTTTCCAAGGGTATTAGCACGTAAGTGAATCCAATTAACTCGACAGGAATTCCCCTATGAGGACCATCGGTGAACAATCCATCGCACCTGATTTGAATCAACAATGACGTCTGCTAGATTTTGACCGGTGAACTTACCAATGACATTTCTTCGTCTAACATTTATTTCTATATTTTCCCAATTGGGGGTTAAGTACAGAAAATAAAGAGACCAAATCAGGTGAAGCTATGCCGAGATATTTTAATCTATAGATTATATTTTGAATACATTTTATATAGGCATTAACCTAACACAAGGCTGACCACACAGTCTCCATGTTCTATTCCGATTTATATATATATATATATATGTGTGTGTGTGTGTGTGAGTGTGTGTGTGTGTGTGTGTAAGCAAATATATGGATATAGATCCGACAGTATGAAGAAAAATATACGGAAAAACAAACAAAAATCCTAATATGCAATTATGCTGTTTTAATGTTAATATAATGTCAACGTCGGACGTTTCGGTCTAGCAGACCATCTTCAGGACACATTCCTAAAATATAATTAACATTAGACTATTATTTTCACAACATCGCTCACGTGACGCCGACGTAATCATATTGAAACGCAACGCTGATCTTGAAAAATTTCAGTTATCTGTTTTGATTAGTCTTACTCTTATGTCCATCGTCTTTTCATATTGAATTGCATATTAGGATTTTTGTTTGTTTTTCCGTATATTTTTCTTCATATATATATATATATATATATATATATATATATATATATATATATATACCACATTTATTTATATATATATGTGTGTGTGTGTATGTATGTATGCATGTAGGTACATCAGAAAGACCATAGCTTAATGATAAAAAAGATTATATGTAACAATTATTTTTCAACATAATCTACTTCGTTGTGGTTGCATATTAACCATATACGGTGATCGTTAAAATTATTGGCCCGTTTTGTGAGTATAACTAATTTCTAACATGGTCATAAAAAGGAATTAGATAATACTTTGATAAAGTTAGTTTGAATGCTTGCATCCGATTAAAATTTTAGAAAATTATTTAAATAAAACACAAATAATCAAACAACAAAATTTTTAGCATACAGCTTCAAGAATAGGAGTTCTCAAACAGATGAGGAGTTCGGGGATTTCAGTGTCTCAGGGGGAAGTAAAAGTCTTTTACTTTTTCATGTTTTTTATTTTTTTATTTACATAATCTCGAGCCCATAATGAGTGTAAATTGAGTATATTATTCGAAATGCACCTTTTGAGTCGGACAAGATTCTAAAGAGGTGGGATGAATGAATCCTATGATGAAAAGGGTGCATTAGGCAAAAAGATTGAGAACAACTGTTCGTCCCAATAGTTTTAACAATCACTGTAAATCGAACTTTATACAGTAGAATTTCTATATTAAAATTTGCCTAATAACTATGTCAACCTGCCGACACATTGTCGCAAGCACATGTATAAACTAATAACAGTTCTTACAGAAATAAGTTTATGCCTAAAGACGTAAATAGTACTAATTCTCTATAAGAAGTCTAGTACTTTTTTTTATCACGGATGGCAATCGAATTTCATTGCAGTTTCCCATTCTTCACAAATCTGTCATATCCAGAAAAAAAAAAACATTTAGTCTTTCCCCGTTCGTTCATTATTGATGTTATCTTTCGTCCATTCTCATTTTCTCATCCGCTATACAACAAACGCCGCCATATCCACCGGAAAACCAGCGATCAAATTTTCAGCTCTAAGCTAGTAATATAGGCTAAAGTAAAGGAAGAAATTACGGCCTCGAGATAACATATTTTTGGATAGTCGTCTTTATCGTCATCGTCGTTGCCGTCGTCTTCTTCTTCTTCTTCTTCTTCTTCTTCTTCTTCTTCTTCTTCTCTCACTTCTCTCCTTCTTCTTCTTCATCTTCTTCTTCTTACAAGCTTATTAGATAGGTTGGACGATGTTTTCCTCTACCTCTTTTACCTTCACTTTCTTCTATGTGTGTTAAATTCTCCAAACCCTCTTGCCCCATGATCCATCCCCAAAATTTTAACTGTCTTTTTCTGATTCTAAGTACAAGTATATCCATTTTCAAGTGTTTTCATTTCCCTTAAAACTTCCTCGTTGCTCACATGCTCCATCCATGAAATTCTCAGCATTCTTCTATAGAACCACATCTCTGTTGCAAGTTTCCTCTTCATGTGATGAAATTATCCAGCATTCATTACTATACAGGAGAATTGATATTGCATAGTTTTCAGCAATTTTTTCTGTTTCTAATAAATTTTGGATAGTTGAATGAAATCTATTTTCACTGCTACTAGGAAGTCGCCTCCTGCCGCTCTAGTTCGTCTAAAAGTTATTGGGTTTAAATGGTCAGTAGTTAAATGAAGCCAGTCATGTTCGATTTTGTGAGTCAGGTTGAAATCTTTGTGAAAGACACTTAGTGGAAGGTGGATGTTAAGCAGAATTATTTTGTTACACTATCAATTGGATACAAATGTGTTCACATGAAACAAGTAGTGTCCTATCCACATCGAGAACAGTTCATTACAAACTTCTCCACATATAGAAAAACCGGCGATTAAAAGAACGCAAAGGTAACTTATTTATTAATGACATTTAACTTCTCTATTAATCAAGAAATATCTTGTTATGGTAGAAATGTAAATGCTTCGATCATATTTCTTTCTCTATCTTTTTTTTAATACCATATTCCTTCGTGGCGGAGGCAATCATGGAATCTCCGCAGATTCCTTTTTCTTTGTTATCTATGAATTGATCTGTCTTCCTGAAAAAATAGTGGAGTGGTTTCCTAGTGAATTATCCATGGTATTGAATTCACAGTAGTACTATACACAATAATAGAGAGCCTAGTCTCTTTAACCCATAGTCGGAGAGATAGAAGCAATGAAAAGAGATATATAGCTGGTTGGGTGAAGAAGAAAATAATACTAGCTACCACTCAAGGCTAAAGAACGCTTTCTACCTTACTATTGAACATATAGCTAGGAGAAGATGGATTAATGCCTTTCCTAAGAGTGTTATTGCGAAAATGAACGCAACTAGGTTAAATTTGGACTCTGGTGACCGATCGAACTTTCCGTGCCGAAATATTTCTACGCTACTTACTCATCCTTTGTTTTAGACAATCGAAATTTGGGTTTGTTTTCGAGGGCAGAACGTCTTAATTCAATTTCAAAATGACACATATTATTCGATAAAACACTTCCCATTTTGAGATAAATCTGTGATAATATCTTCATATCGTTCAGGTGTTTATCATCATCATTACTGTAGAAGTCATGACTATACCTAGATTCACAGCACACTGATCCTTGTTATATATACTTAAACTATTGAACGCGGAGTTCCGGTTCAACGCTTCGACGTTTAGAGCACATAATAAGGAAGAGGCTTGGAAAATTTTATACTCACAAGACAAATTGAAGGCAAGAGGGATAGAAGAAAATAATGCTTAATCTACCTAGCGAGCTTGATTAAATTGAATTGATGGCGGAGCAAGGTTTAGGAGAGATAACAAAAAGACAAAATATATATATATATATATATATATGTTATGGGGTCCACCCCTTTTTCATATAAGTGGACTCGACCAGAGTGTTACTTGGACTGCTGCCGTTAAATACCCAGAGTCAGAATAGAGAGATATTGGGAGAGTGAGCTGAGATTGTGATTGAGTTGGAGGTAGAGTAATAGTGTGAGGTAACCGCTTGTAGAAGTCAGTTACAAGCACGTAGACTCTAAGGAAGTCCTACTTCGGGACTATATCTATATATATTATTATTACGACTAACCGCGTTCCTGGATTTACTAACAATATACCCATTGTATTATTGTGTAAATACATTTAATTTCTTATCTTTATTTCTTGCGTTTGTCATTCATTGGAGACCGAATTTCATCCCGGAATGCACAACAATATATATGCCCCCACCCAAACATGTATACGTACCTGTGCGCCGTCGGGTAAAACGAACAATTTTCACATCTTTTTCAATATAATTTATCTTGCTTCCTAGGTATGTAAAATGCCAAAACATTAACTAAATCCCTTGAGTTTAAGCTTGATGGAACCTACACTCAGATGCTGAGAGCTATATTTAACATCTCTTGGAGACAATCAGGCTTCCCTCCCGATCGTTGTGTTCGGTGGCAGCACGCACATATCCTGCCAAATGAGACTGAAACCAGGGAAGTTGATGATGGTGCAAATAGCTTAAAACATAATATACAACATATCCTTTGAAATAGAACCATTCCTTTTTTTATTGTCTGTGAATTGCCATGAATTCTTTGGAAACATAGTGGACTTGTCTTCTGTTGCCTTCTCCACGGTTTTGAATTCAGTGTATTCTGTCTCCTATTCTGGTTATCACGTATGGCTAGAAAATCCAATATTACCTACTATTTAATCTATAGCTGGAGGAAGAGTTGTATTCATGCTTTTCCCAAGGACATTGATGCGAAGTGAACACAGCAGACTTAGTCGGAATTTGAACACATTTTCCATTTTCGACGCCGATAACCGTTACGCTATCCGTACATCCTTATCGCAAGTGTAATCTTTGTGTAAAACAATGATCTTGCTAGCGAGAAGGCCTGCTATGCTGAAAAGAATTTCACAACCTCACATGTTAGTAATGTATCTTTGTACTCGCCATTTACTGTTTTTCAACGTTGATATATTCTGTTTCACGGGCAGTTCTGAAATAGAGAATTTTACCCCAAATGTGTAAGAATTATGTATCGGCAAGAGATCAGAGTTCAACCAGTTAAAATTTAAATTACTATAGATAAATCACTCCAGATCACGACTATAAAAAATAAATTTTATAAAGATTGATATGGTTGTCCAGTTTTCTATTTAATTTGATCCCACAACGAAAGTCAAAACAAAATATGCTCATAAGATGTGATATCTTAAAATCTATCACCAAAGTTGATCAGCGTCGAGCCCAATCAGTACTTACATGGGAGGTCGCTTGGAACACTGGGTACTGTAAGTAATCTCCTAAAATCCGAAATATGTCGCGGCTTTAAATAACCCACAAAGGGTTGATAATCCGCAAAAGATAAATTGATCAAGCAATTTCTTAAAAAGTAAAAATATTAAAATGTTGAAATTCGTAATCTTGAGGGGTTTTTTATCACTATAGATTAAGAATTAAAAAATATATATATTTAAAATTTTGTGAAATAATGTTTATGAACATATTTGTTTTGGCTTCCATATGGATATCAATTTACAATGAATTTACATAGTAATCTGGACCCTCTATTAACTTTTATAAAAATTACTTTAAAAACAAATTAATATTCGTGATCTCTATGAATATGAAAAAAAAACTAGAAAAAGATTTCTAGTCGTAGTGGCTATTGTAGAACTTCACTCGCATTTCTTATTCACGGTATTTACATGCGATTGATTTACACTATTTACATTATTCGGACTCATCTTTGTCGCCATATTTATTACAACGTTTCGACCGTTGTATGCTTCGGTCTTCTTCAGGTAGTTGTATCTAACCAACGCCTTTATCCATTGTGCCATGTTCCTCAAGTGACAGGACCCAAAAGAGTGTGAGTTCAATACCCGGTTAAAGCAGTGGAGAACTTGGAGAGGGGAATTAACAGGAGATAACTGATAACTGACATCCATTAAACATGGCACGTGGAACAAGAACAGTCTACCCCAGTGAGCGAAATAAAGGGTTCAGTTCGACATTCCAACCACCTGAAGAAGGCCGGAGCGAAACAACGGCCGAAACGTTGTAATAAATATGACGACAAAGATGAGGACAATAGTCCGAATAATCTAAATAGTGTACATAATACCTCACCTCAGAAATATAGACAGCGATTGATTTAGTATAATTTTAAATTCTATTATTAAATTAAATTATCAGTACGTGGCTTCTGTGCTATCTTTTAAGCAAACAATAGTTAATTGCATACATTATTTAAATTTATTACCATGGATTTCCACTTAATTTGCTCACACTTCCGAGATATTTGATTACTTCGTTGTTTTATACCTCATAAGGTATGTTTTCGGATATTTACTAAGACTGATTGTTTCTTAACAGATTATAATGAAAGGCTACCCTTATTTTAACAGACAGGCATTTCTATAATGAGCCCAACAGTGAGGAACAATTCGCAGAAAATTAATGGGGGTCGAATTATCCTAGGATGATCTATCCTTGACCTATCTAAGAACGTTGTTTCTTATTTTCATCAACAACTATTCTTCCCGAATATTCGACTTGAGTCAACCCAACTCGTTATTTATGCTGACGTTGACAGTGTAACTATTTTAACTTATTTCTCCCGTCTCAATACGTCCGATAAATTAAAACTGGCAACTGGTCTCGAGTAACCTCCTTAACTGGGGTAAGAAATGGCTTGAAAAATTTTAAAGTATCCAGAAGGAAACTGCTATCTTTTAATCATTGTGAAAAAACAAACTATTTTTGCTTTTCATCGGCATGGTTATGCTAATTTATAGGAGAACAACTTTCTGTGTCACTGACATGAAGTGGAATGATACTGAATCAATTGCTAGATATGCTGATAGGAAAGTTGTTTCACTGTGTCATGTCAGACAATTCTTTGTTCCAGAATCACTCTTGCACGTTTATAGGTAAATCTACTATTCTTTTCTCGAATTTAATATTGCGGCCATATTTTGTCTGGTGTCCCTCTTATATATCTCGAGATCCTCGACAAAATCCCAAGAAGGGCTTGTAATGTTATCGGTCTTAATCTTGCATCTCGATTTCAATCGCTTTCTCACACCGTGACGTAGCTTCCCTGAGTCTTTTCCATAAATGTTTTCATGACAATTATTCTATTGACTACCTCGACCGCATGAATTTAAGTGTATTATTAGATTGGCAATTAGGTCTTACCTTTTACTGTTGAAATAGCTGGATGTTACCGTAAGTTCCATTCTAATAGTTTCTTCTCTCGTACTCCTCGCTTGTGAAACTCTCTTCCAGTTCCTTGCTTCCCGTCCATTTCTGATCTTCAAAGATTTAAATGCAACGCCAATCTCCATCTTCTATAGTCCTGAATCTTGTTCTTTTATTGCGCTTTCTCATCCTCTTTCACTTTCAGTAACCCCTCGGGTCTTAGTGACATTATCACCTTGCTTGGGGCGAAACGATTTAAAAAAAAGAATGAAAATGATGAGGCTCTATTTCTATTTTCATCTTCTTACTACCCAGAGATTAGTTGTAATAGATTCCCGGTATACTTATTCCATTTTTCCCAGTTCAAAAGTTTGAATCGAAACAGAATTTTTAACAATTTTTTAAACTTTTTTTTTTTAACAATTTTTAAAATTTTTATCACTAACTACAGAATGATACGCTTTAAACTCATCTATCGGAAGTCATCGGCTTTTTTTCTTCTTTTTTTTTTTTTTTTTGATGGGTCGAAGTCTCTCTCTCTCTCTCTCTCTCTCTCTCTCTCTCTCTCTCTCTCTCTCTGTCAGTTCTTCAGATGTCCTTTATTTTATTTCAAAGGTCCTTTCCTTCATCATATTTCCATTTCGCATCAGAAAAAGGCGCATTCTTCCGGCTTAAGGAACAAGATTTTTTTAAAATAAAGTGTGGATTTCCTAGCATATTCTTTATTCTCCTTTTCTTTACCTCCTTATATTTTATCCTTTTTTTTTATTTGGAGTAAGTGTTAATCTTTTTATCCTTGCTTTTTATTTTCTTTACTGTTGATCGTAAGTTTCATTCATTGTTTTCTTTGATTTTCTCTTGGTCAGTATAAATAAACATCCTCCGATAACAATAAAGAGGTGTACTTGGACATAGAGAACTGAATAGCATTTTCGACTGTCCCTATTTGCTTATAGACGCAGAAGACAACAATACAACCCAGTCAACGGGTACAGTTTTCCCGGTACACCGCTTTATTCCGAAACTGTGGTGTAAGTATGGGAATATCACCGCTTTGATTGTCATAGCATCATAGCAATTTCTCGCACAAATTGAAATCCGCAAAAATTGAATGACTGGATTAAAGTTGTTAAAATTTCTTTAGTTATGAGATGGCTTTCATTTTATTCACTCAAGCAGAAAATTAGAAAAAAAATGAAGGAACGTTATTTTTTTGGTTCACTCAAAGTAAGACGCGACACCTTTCTTGACCATCCCGTACCTGTATGTCCATACTCTATATGTAAAAAGTTTATATATAATAAAGAATCTGAATTTATTTTGGCGAGCGTTTCTTTACGAATGAAAACAGTTTGAGTACAAATAAAAAATATGTATGTGTTTAGATATGATCTCGTATGAAAATATAATTGAACTGTTTATTTTGTTAGCTCAGCATATTATCTACGGTACTACGTCATCAGATAACCATAAACACACTGAGAACTAAACAGAAGACTAAATTTGTGCACTTTGACTCAATCTAAGACAATGTGATTGAGCTTAACTGTATCATTTGTCTAAAACCATTTTAATACCATGTCCCTTTAGCACATAGGCGATCATGACTCTCCACAGATTCCTTTTATCAATTAGCTGTGAATTACTATGCATTATTGGGAAAGATAATGGAGTGATTTATAGTTGCCTTCTCCATGGTTTGAGTTTATAATTTTCTTTCTCTTAGACTGGTCGCTAACCAAGGCTAGAAAGCCCTGTCTACCCTGCTTTATAACTCATAGCTGGTTGCGGGTGGGGAGAAAAAGCGGATTCATTCATTGCCCAAAGGTATTAGTGCGAAAGTAAACGCAACAGCCTAGCCTGGACTTTAAACTCAGCTCACTGAATTCCTTTGCCAAGACGATATCCGTGATAACAACAACAGATCGCTAAAACCACTACGGCCATTAACTTTCAAGATAAATCAGAAAACTTCAGCTTCCGTTTTTTTGTTTTTGTTTTCGAAGCATAAGATTCTGAAGCAGACATGGGCAACCGTTTTTGAATAGTGGGCCACATGATCTATGACTCGTCATCATCATCCTTTGACCTCCCTGTGGTTGGGCGCAACTCCATTAACAATCCGTTTCCACACTGCTCGGTCCTGCATTGTCATCCCCAATGTCCAACCCTGAGTCCCGAGCCATGGTGTCTGTGAAAGTCAACTCTCTCAAGAAGAAACCTCCAGAAGTAAGCATGAGACGACCTCCCCGTCCGCTCAGTGGCAGTAGCCGGCAAACTACAATCGCTTTTGCTTGAGCTTAAGGGAGATTGTTCTCAGTTCTCCGTAAATTGTTAAGCGTTGCATGGAATCTCCAACTGATGCTCTAGATTTTCTAAGCAGATTTGTATATGTTCTATCCAGTCGTCTTTGAAGACAAACAGATAATGTCCAAGTTTCTATTCCATACGATAGGACTGTTTCAGTCAGTGTTCAAAAGGTCTAGATATTAAAGAAGATGGATGGTTCGAGCGCCAAATCTTGTGAACTTTGTTACACGCATCCCATGTTTGTTACACGCTTTGCGGATGTTGAAGTCTTTTTGGGAATCTATTATGCGAGATTCAAGATATTTGAAGTCCTCAACTCTTTTGATGGATGCATTATTGAGTGACTTCAACTCGGATGGTTCAAGGGAGGTTGTAATATATTCTGTCTTACTCACATTGCAATAGAGACCTACTTGGCTCGCTGCTTGCTCGAGTGATTACAGCAAGGATTCTGCATCTTTGATACATTGAGAAATTAATGCAAGATCATCGGCAAATTCAAGATCAGTCAGGTATTGTGATGAGGTTTCAAAAGGAGTCCTTTTTCATCCATGTCGTCGAGAGAAATACGCAGAATATAGTCCAGAACAAGTATAAACAGCAAATAAGCAAGTGTATCGCCTTGTAGAACTCTTCATTTAACTTCAAAGGAATCACACTCGCCATCAAGCGATACAATGGTGGCAGTGGTGTTTCTGTACAGAGCTTTAATTGCCTCAACAATTCTGGAGGGTATACCTTAGAGTTGGAGGATTTTGAACGCGAGATCTCTGTTGATAGACTCAAACGCCTAGCGAAAGCCAACAAAACAGATTATGACATTTTCATCCCTTCCAGTATGCGGCGATTGGAGAGGATTTAAGCAGTTGCCGAACTGCCTCTTCTAAATCTATTGTTTCTTGCAGAGGAGTGGATCGATGGTAGGGACAATTCTATTTAGCAGAAGCTTATTGTAAACTTTTGCTGCAATTGTTATCACCTTTTTTTGGAATGTGGAATATTCCTTCCTTCAACCAAGCGAGCGGTGTATGAATGTGCGGTTGTAAAATTCAAGGAGGAGGTCATGAAATATTGGATCTTGCCACAATAATGTTGGTATGTTGTCAAGACCTGGAGTGTTCTTTTGAATTCATCGAGCGTGAATACCAGTGTATTGGATATGTGATGTATTGGGCGTGGATCACAACTGACTTGCGGTGGTTCTCCCAGGAGTTTCTTAAAGTGGCCAAACCATTTAGCGTTACGCTTTTCAGCGGAACAGCCTTTGAGCCGAATGGAAGGCTTTATTTTCTTCCTGAAAGTATGTTTATTGTTTTCCAGGCTGCAACATGTTGGTTCTCTGTGTACAGTCTTACAATCTTGTCAATCTCCCTTGGATATACTCTGGCTCTACATTGATATGGGCCTCATCTAGTATCCTTTGTGCGTTAGTGATGTCTTTAAAAGTACTTCTAATTAGCTTTTGTTCATATCTCGGTTTATATATATATATATATATATATATATATATATATATATATATATATATATATATATAGACACACAAACATATGCATACATACACACACACATATACCGAGTCAAAAGTTTTTTTCGGATCTTCACTGATGGTTTTGGTAACTTATATTTCCATGTTACATCATTAATTTGATACAACCTGTTGTTCAACCGTTGCTGAATGAACAAACCTTTAGACGATTTTTATATGTATTAAGTTCAGAAAAGAAAACACTTGTACGCATATAATATATATATATATATATATATATATATATATAGGCAAAAATAACTGCCAGTCTTGTTTAACAAAACATGTATGAAAGAAATATTGCTGCCCAAATACACAATTAATATATATAATTTAAATAAGCTTTATTTAGACAGCAAGTTATACTTAAATTTTTTTTTTTTTTTGTTTAATCTGAGTACTTTTGACTGTCAGTACAATCTTTATCAAGAATTGGGCATTTAGTCTGTTTATGAAACTGTGTTTGGCTAATTCCGGCGTTCCCTAGTTTCAAGTGATTCAAAAGTGACGTTATTTACAATGATCAAAATTTTTATGTGATTTATATATATATATATATATATATATATATATAAGTTTACTGAAGGAGTTTTAAAGTACTTTCTGTGTATTTTTCTTCTTCGTGTAAATATTGAGAGCTAAATATTCTGTGCGCTTATTCCGGGTTTCATTTTGTTGCAATTGAGCGAATAAAAGCTTGAGATCATTTTGATTGGTGGATCTAAAATTAAACGTCCATCGAAAATCCGCGAAGGGTAACGACCTCAGCCGGAATTTGAACTAAACATTCTCATATTATTTTCCATACCGATAACCAATACAGTATATATATATATATATATATATATATATATATATATATATATATATATATATATATATATATACCGTGTGTAACAGCAAAATTGTCTAAATTGTCTAATAGCTTCTGATAATTGGCCATCTCAAAAAATGTTTATCTAAAAAAACCACTAAACTAATTGAGTTTCTTTTTCCCAGGTTTTCAAATAAGACGTTTAGCCAATCTTGGTACCATTTGTCATAAGAATCACTGAAAAATCCGTTGAGTTATTCAGCTAAAAAGATCACAGGTTAAAATCGTTTCGTGTCAGCCCCATTACATCTTCCCAAATGGGCAATGGTAAGAAGAAAAATATAATTCAGGCCTTCAGCAATGGTACTAACATTCATACTCTGGCTTCCATTTTCAAAGTCCATTCAAGTCCATTCAAGTCGAGTTAATGTTAATATAATTAGAAGTTTCGTGTTCCTTAACATTAACTCGAACCACCCCCATACCATCTGGAAGCAGATACCAATTACCATTGGTTCTAGAATCAATAAACTAGAATCATCTAATAAGAATATATTTGATAAGAATAAAGCATTGTATGAAAATTCCCTACAGAAAAGTGGTTTTACACATAAACTATCTTACTTAAACCCCACAAATAACCATAGTGAAGTTAAGAGTAATAATCCACACAAAAATAGAAAAAGAAATATTATTTGTTTCGACCCCCCACACCCTTCTGTAGATTATCAAGAATTAATATTGGACAAATTTTCCTGAAACTTATAAACATTTTCAGAATAACAATCCTCTAGGTAAGATCTTCAATAGAAAAACTATTAAAATAAGTTATTCGTGTACTAACATCATGTTTAGAGTAATTTACTCCCACAAGTATATCCTTAACAAATTCAATGGTGTCAACAAGAATTCTAATACCCCTCCTTGTAATTGTAGAAATAGCAACCTTTGCCCAGTCGAGAGAAAATGTAGAGCATCTAATGTTATTTATCAAGCCACCATTTACCCTAAAGAAAATAAATC